AACATCAAAATCCACAACTCAGAAGCCAGCCCCCTGCAGGAACCACCACGGTTCTTCAAATGAGACACGAAGTCAGGAAATCTCGAGCTAATTAGGCCACAGATCTTCAGGAAGAATATCTATGCCTAACGTATTTTATAATACGAAAGCTGGGATGACAAGCCCATCCTGATTAATGAAACTGTCCTCCATTCCATCATAGGTCTATAGACGTTTAGCATTCAGGCTCAGATCTATCCTGGCCCTAAGCCAAGGTAGGCATGGGCAAATGGGAGATCCAGTCTCACTGGTGGCTGGGGCTAGAGATCTTCAGCTATCCTTAATCCAGGCTCAGTGTGACTAAGGGACTGTCTTCTTCCAACATGGCCCCAACTCATGTGCTCTAAGCTACAGAAGTAACCCCTTGAGACTTGAAGATGGACACATCCTCTGCTTCTGTGTCCCAGATAAAAGTAAAAACAGGAGATAAGGCACTGTCCCCACTGCAGAGGTTATACAAACCCATGCTGGGAATATGACTTGTGACTGACGACATTCTAACATGAGCAAGTACTATTGCCATGAGGAGCCCATATTCTTAATGCCAATCTGTTGACCCCACTTAAAATACAGCCTGTGCTGCACAGTCTCTTTATTTGGTAAAAGTTGTAAGAAATAACACACGGAACCTGAACAAACCACCATGAATCATTTCAACAGACCACCCTTGGAGCCACCAATCCAGATTAAAGCTAGTCATGATTCATAAAAACATCTCATTTAGTTCTCAAGTTAAACAGACAAATTATTAAAGAGTGAGTGGGAATGTAAAATGGTGTGGCCACTGTGAAAAACAGTATGGTGGGTGTTCAAAAAATTAAACATAGAATTACCACATAACCCAGCAACCCTACCTCTAAATATATACTCCAGTGTATTAAAAGCAAGGACTCGGCCAGGTACGATGGCTCATGCCTGTAATCCCAGCACTGTGGGAGGCCGAAGTGAGCAGATCACGAGGTCAGTAGTTTGAGATCAGTCTGGCCAACATGGTGAAACCCTGTCTCTATTAAAAATACAAAAATTAGCCTGGCATGGTGGCAGGTGCCTGTAGTCCCAGCTACTTAGGAGGCTGAGGCAGGAGAATCGCTTGAACCCAGGAGGCAGAGGTTGTAGTGAGCCAAGATCATGCCACTGCACTCCTGCCTGGGAGACAGAGTAAGACTCCGTCTCAAAAATAAAAATAAATGAAAACTAAAAGCAAGGACTCAAAGAGATAATTGTACATTCGTGTTCATAGCAGCAATGTTCACAATAGCTACAAGGCAGAAATAACCCAAATGTCCAGTGGCAGATGAACGGACAAACAAAATGTGGCATATCCAAGTAATGGAATATTATTCACCCTTTCAAAGGAATTAAATTCTGGCATACAATACAGCATAGATAATCCCTGAAGACCTTATGCTCCATGAAGTGAGCCAGGCACAAAATAACAAATACCATAGGATTCTACTTCTATGAAATACCTAGAGTTATCAAATTCATTGAGCTGGAAAGCAGCAGGGTGATAACTGTGGAGAAGGGAGAGTGGAGAATCAGTGCCTAATGGGTACAGAGTTTCCACCCAGGAAGATGAACAAATTCTGTCGATGGATGGAGGGGTTGGGAGGCACAGTGATGTGAATGTACTTTATGCCAAGGAACTATTGTACACTTCAAAAGAGTTAAAATGGTAAATTTTGTATTATGCATATTTTACTACAATAAGAAAAAAAAAATAATGATGAAAAAGCCTAAAGTAATTTTACCAAAGCTGTGAAAAAGTAAATAAATGACAAGTCATTTGCAGACATCCCACAAGCTCATTCAACACTAAATGACGACGATGGGCTCGGCAGTCATTCCATTTGCAACACCCAACCTGATTTCTGCCAGACCGGGAATTAGGATGTGGGGCCTCAGTGGAAAGTGCCAGCGTTGCAGAGGGACCTTTCAGAGCCCTGCTGCAGAGCCAGCCTCTGCCCCACGGAAGCAGCCCACAGGTGAGGAGGAAGTGTCTTATTTCTTCACCTGGGCATGTTTCCACATACAAGACAGGACACGAGGATATTCATCTTTCCCACATTTCTGGGATTTCAGGTTAAGTCTTATAGTTTAACCCAAGAAATTTTTGACTTTGTAAAGAGACAATACTTCTAAGATAATCAAGTTGGTAAATTAATACCTTTGGGAGATGTTTACGTGCAGGTAAGCAAATTTGCTGAGTTAGATCAGATTTCCCAAAGGCTATTTTCCAAAGCGTTAGTGGAAAAGAGCAAGAAAAGCAGGTGAACAATATCTCACTTGTACGAAGAGCTGTGTTTTACTGAACCACTACCTCAAACCGGACTTCATGTAGGGTGTTTTTAAAGTTTGCAAGTGGAGTGTTAGTGAAAATTTTTATGAATGTATTAGATGTATGATCTTGAAAGACAAAAAACTAGCTAATTTATAGAAAAACCTCAGTATTCTTCTCCTAAATGGCAGAAGAGAGTACAGGAGAATAACACAGATGATGGTGCTGCTGATGATGCTGGTGATGGTGGTGGTGGTGGTGGTGGTGAAGACCCCTTGACTAGTGTGTACAAGCCTTGTTATCATTTTCACGTCACACATGAGGAATCTGGGCAAACCTGATACACTGTACCAAAGACACTAAGACATGAGGCCTCCAGGATTCACAGAATTACAAGATCGATTCCCCCATGTCAAAGGAAGACTTGGGGAGGACACCTTATGGAAGCTCCGGATAAGTGACAACGAGGTTAAAGAAGAATACTTTAAATTTAAATGAGCTGGGTGCGGTGGCTCACACCTGTAATCCCTGCACTTTGGGAGGCCAAGATGGGCAGATCACGAGGTCAGGAGTTCAAGACCAGCCTGGCCAACATGGTGAAACCCTGTCTCTACTAAAAACACAAAAATTACTTGGGCGTGGTGGCACATGCCTGTAATCCCAGCTACTCGGCAGGCTGAGGCAGAACTGCTTGAACCCGGGAGGTGGAGGTTGCAGTGAGCAGAGGTTGCAGTGAGCAGAGGTTGCACCACTGCACTCCAGCCTGGGTGACAGCAAGACTTCGTTTAAAAAAAAAAATTTAAATGGCTTAAAAAAATGGCCCAGGACAAAGAGATATCCAGGACTGATTTAATGACAAGTTCTTTAGCTCTTGACACTAGCATCTCTATGGCAACTTCTTTGTAAAGCAACCAGAAGTCCTACTCCTTCTGTAACAGGCAAGACCACGGCAAACTATGGTATAATTTATGGCATATCTCAATACAAAAGCACAAATAAAATAAGAAAATATCAAATCAGGTCTTATCATTATTACTGCCCTGATGGGAAAGAAAATACAGTCAGCCTTCTGTATGCGTGGGTTCTGCATCCCTGGACTCAACCAACCTGGGGTTGAAAGTATTTGGGGGAAACAAAATAGGTGATTGTGTCTGTACTGAACACACATAGATTTTTTTCTTGTCACTATTCCCTAAACATTTATTTATAATACCTAATATAATGTATATTTACATTATACAACGTACAATTATATAATGTACAATTTACAACGTACATTATATAATGTAAAATTTACAATGTACATTATAACTGTACCCAATGTACACTGTATATTGTACATTATATAATGTATATTTACATTGTATTAGGTATTATAAGCCAAGATGATTTAAAGTACATGGGAGTACACCCATAAAAAAAAAAAATTCTTGTCCTTTGCAGCCACATGGATGCAGCTGGAGACCATTATCCTAAGCAAATTAACACCGGAACAGAAAACCAAATACCAGATGTTCTCACTTACAAGTGGAAGGTAATCATTGGGTACAGATGGACATAAAGATGAGAACAAAGACACTGCAGACTACAAGAGTGGGGAGACAGGGAACGTGGCAAGGGCTGAAAAACTACCTATCAGGTACCACACTCACGGCCTGGGAGATGGGAGCATCCATACCCCAAACCTCAGCATCATACCACACACCCGTGGAAAAAACGTGCACCTCTACCCCTGAATCTAAAAAAGATGAAATTATTTAAAATAAATAAATAAAATGCCATATATGGGAGGGTATGAATAAGTTATACGCAAATACTATGCCACTTAAGCATCCTCCGATTTTTTGTATCCTCAAGAGGTCCTATAACCAATCCCCCATGAATACCAAGGGACAACTGTTTAATGTAAAACCTTACTTTGAATGAAAACCAACCAGAAAATACAAACACTGTAAGTTCTCTCCAAAATTGTGAAAAACAATCAAAAATTCAAAGTGTTATCCCAAACATCCAACTATTTTCTTAAATACCATTAAAAACAACCACAACTAGATTTAGAATATAAAGAAAGCCTGTATCTGACATGGATTCCATTTACATTTTTCTTCAGTTAAGAAAATTATATGGAATATGACTAAATGGTTCATTTAAAAAATACAAGAATTCTCTTTCTCAAATATATTCTTTTCTCCTAGATTTAATTTCATAGATCCAATTTCACTGAAGTTCACTTCTTAATACAACTGTGATGTAAGTGAAGATTTTAATGAACAACAACAAAAATTTCCATAAATACTACTATGAGATTGAGGCAAAGAAACACTGAAAACCAATTTGATATTTTTAATTAGATTTCATTATAAATTTAGTATTCTGCAACAGCCTGTTATCAAAGGCAGCCGTGCCCTGACAGCAGTAGAAAACTTTCATTATACACTGGAAAATTTTGCATAAAGAAAAAAAACATTGGCCTGATGCAAATAGCAAGCTTCTCTAGTAAGGTGTAAATGATTCTATTTACGGAAGTTTTCTTCTTTTTTCTTTTTTAAGAGACAGGGTCTTGCTCTGTCACCCAGGCTGGAGAGCAGTGGCTATTTATGCAGTATTTAATTTACATAAAACTTTCCCAGAATGCTTCTGATGCTTCAGGTGAGGTACATGTTTAATGCTGAATGTCACTTACCTTCCGATAAATCATATGGCACATGGCTATTCGTAACCTCATCCCAGCACACTGAACGTGATAAAAATATAAGTGATGCAGTATGGCCAAAATGAGCGTGCAAACAGTCAGCACCGTGGCATAGGCGTACGCTGTGTTCAAAGCCACGGAATCCATGGGATCGTAATTTTCAAAATAATTAATAATTTTTCCCAAAAATATGGGCTGGATTACTTTGGCACTTTCCTAAAAGAAGAAAAAAAAAGCCTTTAATTAGACATAAAGACCACACCATTTTTTCTTTTTCTTTTTTCAGATGTTGCTCGCTCTGTCACCCATCCTGGAGTAAAGTGGCACAATCCTAGCTCACAGCAGCCTCGAAATCCCTGACTCAAGCAATCCTCACACCTCAGCCTCCCAAGTAGCTAGGACTACAAGTGCACATCATCATGTAGAGCTTTTTTCTTTTTTTTCTGTCAAGACAGGGTCTCACTATGTTGCCCAGGCTGGTCTTAAACTCCTAGGCTCAAGTGATCCTCCCACCTCAGCCTCCCAAAGTGCTGGGATTACAGATGTGAGCCACCGCACCCAGGCTCATTTTTTCTTAACACAAGTTTTACTTTTATATTTTCAAAGTGCAACATTCATCACTAATCTAAAAGAAAAGCAGAACTGTTCTCTTCTTTAAGACAAGCTGATAGGAGTTTTAACCTGAAGTCAAAATTCTAATTTCAAAGTCAATAAAGTTTTAGTACATTGTGCTTGGTACACTGTGGGTGCTCAGTATGACAAACAGTGCTTTAAAGCACACTTGGCAAACTACCAAATTAAGTCTTGGCCTAAGGTGAATAAGAAAATAAGTGACCAAAGAGAAATAAGGAATTTGCTTACAAATGGACACCCCAGCTCTCACCCCACTTCCTCTAACTCTTGACATCCCAGCCCACAGGAAAGTTGAGAAGGCTCGTGTATGGGAGGCCACCACTCTCGCCATCTTCTTCACTGTTAAGAGCCTTTATGAACGGAGACAATGGCACAAACCCAGATCAGAAAACCAAACTCTCCAATTTTTCCCAATCCAAACTCCACGTGTCAATAGATCTAAGACAACCAAGTCCAGCTTCAGTTGGAGTAGGGAAAAGAGCCAGGCTTGGGAGGATTCCAGGCTCTTGGACCCACAGGACATTGTTTCAATATGCTTCTGCCCCCTACAAGCCTGGATTTGCCCAGAAGAACTGCCACACTGGCTCAGGTAGTGCAGAGTCAAAAATTAAACTCACCAGAAATTGACCTCAAAGGTAATGTCATCAGTAGTTCTCTATAATCAGTCATACTTTGAAGGTCCTGGTTTTGAAGCAATATTAATAATCATCTATTCCCCAAGGCAAAATTAAAACCCCACACCAATGAGCTGGGAGGCATGAGGGCTGACCTTCTGAACAAGACATAGGGAATGCAATGTTAACCTCCAAGACTAAGGCAAAGAAACAGCAGAACACAGCTTGAGCCATGGTTTGAGGTAAGCAAAGGAGCTTTCCTTTACTCTCCCTGCCAAATGAGCACTTCACTCCATAACCTACTTCCTCCCTCTAGAAACCCTTATAAGGGACCCTTTTCCCCCATCAAAGAGAACCAAACACTCATTGCAAATCCAGGTCACCAAAGGTAAACATGTAGGCCCTCGACATCATTTCCTCCTGACTTCTCAGAAGACAAAATGCAAAAAGGTTGAACATCTTTTAAGACCTTGACTTTGGAAAACAACTTTTCCTTTTAAGCAATCTCTCCTTCTTAACAAAGACATAATAAACACCTGACAGATTTGCTATTGATAGCTGTTTTTTGTCTATCTTAAGTGAGGGAAGAAGAATCGATAAAAAACAAAAACAAAATTAACACACACTTTCATCCCAAACAACTGGCGCTGGATCAGGATATTTACAGAAGACATTCCCATTCCTCAAATGGGTCATGATATTAAATCCCAACACTCCTGTCCTGTCATGTATACACACACACACACACACACACACACACACACAAACTCACAGACTTCACCAACCACATTGCCTTCCAGGAGGTCATGGAAGTTTTCCCCTATGATACAGAAATCAGAAAATACCATTTAGTTAAAGAATTATGAATAAGATGATCAGATATCAAGAATGCAGAGGCTCACTGTTACGTTTCCAGCATGACTAATCATTCCAGGGGCACTAAGAGTTTATGGAAGAGTCCCCAGTACAATGGGTCATAACACGGACTGTGTAGAGTTTACTGAGATGAAAATCTGGAAGTTTACATCAAGAAGCAAGAAGGCGCATGTATATATATGTAACAAACCTGCATGTTGTGTACATGTACCCTAGAACTTAAAGTATAATAAAAAAAAAAAAAATTAGCAAGAAGACCAAACTGTACACATGGGCAGCCCCAGCTCAGGAGTGCCAAGGGGAACCAGGGCCGCAGCAGACACACCTGGGCTATCAGCCAGAAGCTCAGTGCTAACTCTTTGCGTTTCTAAATGTTCCTGAAACTTCTCATGGTCCCTGGGAGTCACTGTTACCTGTTAACACACTTCTCCATTTCAGCCTAGGGTGAGTAGAATTCAAACGGCAAGAGGGATGGCCCCCAGAGGAAATAACAGATGCAATAAACCCAGCAAAAGAGAATGCAAAAGGCAGGCAGGTCACGACCACCTAATTGTCCAGATTTCCCTGCCGAGAGACAGCATTTAATAATCCAGTCAGGTCAACGGGCTCACTGGTGAGTAATGCTGGTTTTTGGTCCACGCGTTTCCACGGACCTCTCCATCCCATATCTTAACCCTCAATTAATAAGAAACAAAACAACTGGGAAAATGCTCAGTATCAAAATTATAACTAACCAAATTTAAACTTTCTAAATATCAGTACCAAGGTCAAAAGTAACTCACATAAATTCTCCATCTTAGAGACCAACCAATCTATGACCTGGTGAAGAGTCTTTTCACAAACAAGCTAAGAATACAGTCCTTACTCCTTCACAGGAATTCTCCTCAACTGTGAAACCACGGAGATTTTTAAGAGTTCAGTAGGATACTTCAGTGTTCCATACTTCAGGTTCTACCGGAGTCCCAGAGTACTTGAAGGCAGATACTTCTCGATGGAGTATTTGGTACTCAGCCTCCTGACATTTGAGCCCCATCCCTTGCTTTCTTGTAGTGACACATTACATGTCTAGGCCCAGTGGGCACGCGGCCTCCATGCTCCTGCTCCCCCATGCACTTCAGATATTCCTTGCCCAACTGCACCGCACCTGATTGCATGGGAAGGAAAGAAAACACAAGAAATGGAAACAAGCTACCAAAGAAGAACATGTTTGAGTGAAAAATACAAGCAGAAAAGAGTGAGCTGTGGAAAAATGAGTAAGTAGTTTGTTTTAGAAATGGGGAAATACAGCCGGGCGCAGTGGCTCCCGCCTGTAATCACAGCACTTTGGGAGGCCAAGGTGGGCAGACCACTTGAGGTCAGGAGTTCAAGACCAGCCTGGCCAACATGGTGAAACCCCATCTCTACTAAAAATACAAAAACTAGCTGGGCATGGTGGCTCGCACCTGTAATCCCAGCTAATGGGGAGGCTGAGGCAGGAGAATCACTTGAATCCAGGAAGTGAGGTTGCAGTGAGCTGAGATGGCGCCATTGCACTCCAGCCTGGGGAACAGCACAAGACTCCATCTCAGAAAAAAAAAAAAAAAAAGAAGAAATGGGGGAACAGGGGACAAAAGTAGGGTTGAGAAAGATCCAGAGATAAGGAAGAAAAAAAGTGAATCTGGGGAAATAATAACCATTAAGACTCCAGATACACCTGAAGTCCTCTCTGAATCAATGCAGTCCTGACTGCATGTTAGAATCACCCGGGAGACTTACAAGCTCACTGATGCCCAGGACTCATCCCCCAGATTTAGGGCCAATTGATCAGGGTGGGGCCTGAGTTCCCCATCCCTGGAAGATTCTGGAGTGTAGAAACCAATGCCTGTACACATCACTATTCTCCTGTCCTGCACTGTCTCTGTGTCCGAGTCTGGAGGGGCTGGAGAACCGCTGTGAATAACTTTTTTGAGATGGAGTTTCACTCTTATTGTCCAGGCTAGAGTGCAGTGGTGCAGTCTCAGCTTACCGCAGCCTCCGCCTCCCAGGTTCACGCCATTCTCCTGCCTCAGCCTCCTGAGTAGCTGGGACTACAGGTGTGTGCCACCCCACCCAACTAATTTTTGGTTTTTTTTAGTAGAGACGGGGTTTCACCATATTGGCCAGGCTGGTCTCCAACTCCTGACCTCATGATCTGCCTGCCTTGGCCTCCCAAAGTGCTGGGATTACAGGCATAAGCCACTGCGCCTGACCCTGAAGAACTTTTAAGACCACAAAGGGCTTTTAATCAGAGCTGCTGCCAAATGTCAGGCTTCTAAGAAAACCCCTTAGGAAAAAAGGATGCTGAGATTTCAGTGATGAAACTAAGACCTTCCATTCTGTAGAGCAGGGAAACTTCAATGTTCAGTAAAGACCGTACCTACCAAACAAAAGGATGAATCATAATTTGTTTTTTTTAACTTTAAACAAAATAGTTTAACTAGTTTGTTTGACTTTAAAAAAAAAAAAAAATAGTTTGAAAAGATAGTCCCTGCACATTATTATCTACCCTAAGGACAACGTAAACTGCAAAGAAAAAAATTTAATTTATTTTCAGAAATCATATTATGGGTAATAGTATTGATACTGTAGGATAAAATAAATGAATAAGTATGTTGATATCAAGGGCTGGGATTAGGCTAGTGAGAAAAAAAAACAGATGAAGGGAGAAAAGAGGTACAGATGAAAGAGCAAAGAGATGAAGTAAAAACACCGGTGTCCTGAATCGGATTTGGAAATACCGACATAAATGCATGATGTGTTTATCTTTAAATATAAACATATTAAATATAAACATAAAAGGAGTTAAAGCTGCTAGGAAAAATGGTTGATTCCACAGCTGGGACAAAAACTGTTCAGAGAGCCTAAAACATCTTGTCATACCAGAAAATGAAGAAGCTAGCAAAGACTAATAATATACATGCAAAAGACTCAGAGCCCGACTTCAACAGACTCCTACTAGCCAAAGACAACCAGAGTGTGGCACAGGGATAATAACTGCAATGAACAGCACAGCAGAACTGTTTAAATCCATGAGCTCACAATCATACTCATCAAAATAAACAGAACAAGCAATAA